AAATTAATCATATTTATGAAAATTTAATTTGAGATAATTAGATTTATTTGATTATCTTAATTAAAGATGAGTAAATGTGATTAATTAATTTTAATTAATTTTAATTAATGTTAAGTTAATTATTTAATTAGACTAATTATCTCAATTAATTAATTTCAATTTTCAATGTTGGTCATAGTTAAAGTTATCTCTTTCATTTCAATTTCACACAAACTTTCACGTTTAAGCACTTTAGTCCAAAAGTTTCAAACCTTTTCAAATCGGTCCTTTATTTTTATTTTAATCAAATCAGTCCCTTTAATTTTTACTTGCGTTCATTGTGCATGCATGTCTTTGATTTCGTCCATTTTAGTCCAAAATGTTAAAAATGTTGCAATTTGGTTTATCTTTTTTTTCAAGTTTGCTTATTAAGACTCAAACATAAATGTAATAAATAAAGTTGAATCAAAACCCCAATTTTAAAGTATGCAACCGTGTTTAAACGGAAGATTGTGATGTGCGCGTATGCTCTTTCTCACTTCTAACCGAACCTCGAATCTCGATCTCTACGCAGACTCATTTTAGGTGACTTGTCCCACCTTATAATTTGGACGAGTGGCGACTCCCTCTTTTTTATATTTTTTACACCTGATTTTTCAATTTATTTTGAAAAAAATCTTAAGTGGTCATCAACAATAAGCTAATGGAAATTAGCTACATTGCTTATTCTGTTTTCTTTTTCTTTAGCTCCTTTTTTTTTCCTTTCCCATATTCTTACTGCACCATAAAGAAGAAACAGAAGGAAACCACAAGATTACTAAATAGACTAACATTGTTAAACTTGTTCACAGATGTAGCATCAACATCTGAAATATCATTATGGTCAGTTGTGTATATGACAGTGTCTCCGGACCATAAATTCTCCAATATTGGAGTCTGAATGGCCTAAACCTGGGTATTCCTGCTTTGCAGACTGGCTTCTCTTTTGAGTGTACACTGAAGAGGCAGCTCTGACTGAAGCATGAGTATAGAGTGGAAAAGTGATCTGCATGGCGCGTAAGGCATAGCTGCATTGATCTGCCTTGATTCAAGCAACATTCGTAAGAGCTCTTTCTCCTCCCTTATCTCCTTAGCTCTCCCCAACTGTCTAAACCTTTCTTGCAGAAGAGCAATGGATGGATGAACGATTGCTGGATCAATCTGTCTATCTTCACTCATTGGAAGATGAAGAGGAACCTCAATGGGATTGATTCAAGCACTCTTTAATGAGACCTCATATGCATATGCACATATATATAGGACATAGCTAGGACTTAAAGATGATTATTTTAATTCATTCATTCTGGCTATTTGATTCTGTATGACTAAAAGTTGGAAAACAAAGGCAACTGAACTGCAATGTGTAACAAGGTAGAGACATGTGGCCATGTGAATGGGTGAAAGTACGTCCAGGGAAGAAAATGGTTAGGAGCAAAATCTGAAGAGATGTGGAAGGCAGCATTTGGAAGTGTTTCTTTAAGGAGAATAAAAGACTGGGTGCGTTGTGTGTCGGCTTGTCGTAGAGGGCTGCTGGTATGCCTTTGGAGTCTTTTTGGTGGGGGATTTGGTCGGACCTTCCCATTATATTTAGCTTTGAACATTCTCTTTTTTCATTTGTGGACAGCACAAAACTTGAACACTTTGAACACAATTCGGACTCTGATGTTTTTATCAAAGAAAACCCTTTTATGGATAGGAGAGAAAAGAAGAATCAATCAAAGCCAAGCCCCTTTTTCTCTCTGTACATGTTCTGTTTTGTCTTGAAACTTTTGGATGGAAATGGCATGGAAGATGAAAGTTAAGACATTAGATTGGATATGTGGTTGTTGGGGGACTAAAATTTGAAAAGCAACGTATATCCTAAAGCTAGAGATAGAGGTCTTATTACCCCCAACCAAAAAAATAGAATTCGCATGGATTTAAAACGAGTGTCATTTATTGAATTTACTGTATGGTCTCATCAAATCACATTTTAATCCATATGTTAATATATGTAATTAAGTATAGAAAATAATTTGAGAAAATAACTCTTAAAAAGATAATAAAAGATTTTTGATATATCTAGTTTAAAAAAAATTTTCTTTTATATTTATTTTTACAATCAAGTCTTAATAAAAGAAAATGGATTAAAAAATTTGAATTTTTTCTTTGAAAAGTAGTTGTTTAATCATAGTAATATAAAAGATGGTTTTAAAAAAAAAGTTAGATTAAATTGTATAAATTGTAAAATAAAACAATGATCATTAAATAGAAAAGACCTCAATTATTATAATCTAATACAGTTCGGATTACATAATATTTTTTCCTCAAAACTGTAAAAATACTGTAATTTATAAAATTAATTTTACATTGATGGCTCTCAGCTCACCAAAAATTAAATAAAATAAATAAACATTGACGGCTCAAAATAAGAAACCGAAAACCGTCCATACAAACCTAACCCTTTGGCCCAAAAAACAAAAAACCCAACCCAAAGTCCCCAACGTTCAGCCTCTTCCCGCCGGCTACATCTCTGCCAGTGTAGTCTTGTACCGGCTTTAATCGGAATTACTTGCTACGCCGTCAGACCTTCATTTCGTTAAGCTGGACAAAGCGCTTTCAGACGAGGACTGTGCCGATTAGAGAGTTGCATTCTTCTTCTTGTACAGGATTCGCTTCTAGGACGACTGCAGCTCGTTGACCGCCACAGACCGTCTTTCCGGCAACTGATAGTAAGGAACTTTCTTTTGATATTTTTATTTATGGGTTTTATTTCTTGACAGTTGGGTGTTGTTTAATTATGTATGGAAAATGCAATTTCTTTGTTTGAAAAAAAATTTGGGAGCCCTCTGTCCTCTGTTTCAAGTCTGAGCCTTTGCTCTCTTTGCTTCTTTGCTGCTACCCTTAGGTTCTTTGATTTATGTTTGTAGAGATAAGGATTTTGTCAAACTTGGTTATTGGTTTTTGAATTCTTGCTTTGCCTTCAATTTTTTGATGTTTAGAGAATTGATACTTTTGGAAGAAAATGGATATTTTCAAAGTTATTGGGGTATATCATAGATGGACAAATAATACAGTTTCCAGTACCACCGACTAGTTTATGACACGGTTTTGATTTCGATCACTTAATTTGAATAATTTTGATTGCAATCCAGGGATGGAGGAGGGCTGCTGAGGGGATTGGGTGTTAGATTTCTGACATTTGGTGTAAAGATGTCAATGAACCAACAGCTTCCTCACTTGTCTGGTTCAATGACTTTATACTCCTTGTTTTCGCTATTTATCCATTTGAGTTTCTTCCTCTAATTTGTTAAACTTAACCTGTTCACTTTTTTAGTACTCCTCGTAACAAGTCAAATATCATTATGTTCTAATGTTTACCTTACTTAGGGCTTGTTTGGTAAAGCGATTTTGAGATAACTGTTAATGATTTTACCGTAACTATTAAATATAAGTATTTAGTAAATTTATATATTTTGAACTGTTATAAACAAAGTGTTTGATAAAATTTTTATTTAGTAGTTTAAGACTAACAGATAGCAGTGAAAATCCAAATTGCCAGCAAATTGAAAAAATTAGCTTAGGTGACTTTTTATACCAAACCGTTAGTG